AATCGCCATCAGCGAGATTTCACAGCTGTTCCATTCATCAAAAGTTCTTGTCGATCGTAAAATGATCACTCATCTGTTGTCTCCACTAGTTTGTCATTTGTAGTGTAATCACGGCGAGCCAAAAATCAGCGTCAAAACTAAGAAAACCCCGGAATAAAAACACGCACACTCCGCATCGCTGTACAAAAACAGGAGGTTTCAGGCGCCATCTTGTCATGAATAAGTAAGTAGCAGCGGGCGATCGACGCTCTGATTGGTTCACCTTACATGACCTGCGTTCTGATTGGATAAGCGATGTGGGCAGCAGCCGGCAGCGCGGGAAGATTTTTCTTCGCCGGCCTCGAAGAAGAGACACATTTACGCTGCTTTCTACGTTTTTTCTACGACTACTTAGCAACATCCTATTAAAGAAATGCATAATTAAAAGAATTTTCGGGAAGATATATATTTCTCTACGCCGATTTTTCGCCTTTTTCTCGTAATATTCTTGCTTAAGGAACCCGGAAGTCAGTGTACGGGGACGCGGGGTGAATTTCCATAGGGCATTTATGGACCTCACTCCGCTAGAATTAAACCGTCAAAACAGAAACAAAACTTCCAAAAAGCGAACCTTTGACATTTTTTCACATCCCAATGATTATGTTTTCGATCAAATTGGCATTTAAATATGCTTTCTTTATTTTTCTGCATTTTATGGCCGGGCGCAAGGACCGCGCGGAATACGATCGGAGTGGCAAACAATTTGAATACAGCCTTTTTCCGGAATTATTTGTGCACGAACAGTAAATTTTGGAGCCATAAGATTGCCAAAAAAGATGCTCAGAATGTACCAAAAACGATGTTTAGGGGTCTAATTTTTACGCTGCGCGGCTCGCCTGCTACTTTTTCTTATCAGCCACCTACTCTAAATTTTTTTGAGAAGGCTGTTTGTGTTGGAAGCAAAGTTTTACCTTGACACATGACACCTAACATGACAATCAGAAGTACCTGCAGTGTACGACGACTGGGCCGGGTTTAGAGTGGAGGACTTCCCTGGCCCTGACGGTGAGCCGCACGTCCTGCAGCAGGTGGAGGATGTGAGCGGTCGTCCGCGGGACCCCGAACACCGGCCACGACGTCATCCAGTAGTGCGTCACTTCACGACACAAGTTGAACTGAAACGGGAGATACATATATATTCATAATAATATATTCATCTAATCCATAAGTTTATTGCCTTTAAGTATGTATGTAGAGTAGAGAAAAATACTGCGACAATTAAAAACAAAAACAAAGTATGTACATGAAAGCATAACAAAAAGTGGGAACCTTAATACCATGTTTCGTAATATCAACTGATTGCTACCACAAGTATTTGTCTGTCAGTTTATGTAGACCTGTATGTTCTAGTTTAAGTTTTTTTGTTTTGCATGATTTTGTTTATCCGAATTAAGTTTGAAAATAAAAATAAAGGAAAAGAAATGAGAAAATTTTGGGATTTGAAGCCTTTATTAGTTGTTGGCTGGCTGTTGGATGTTTTTTTTTTTTATTTTTACCAAAGATTTTTGTCAATTTTGTCCATCAAAATTGACGGATTGGTTTCTAAAATTTTTCCGACTTTCCTGCTATGGACAGATAAATGGGTGCTCAATAGAGCCCTTACTTGCAAACAGTAAGGCATGTGTGTACTCCAGTCAACATTAGACCAGTTGCAATGTATCTCAAAGGACTGCACAAAAAGAGCAAGCATGGGTGGACAGCGCCCCCTACCTCCAAGTCCTTCAACTGCAGGGTTGTGATTCGGTAGCCCTTCCTCCTGCAGGACTTCTTGGTGGTGACTGAGTAGTCCCCAAACACCAGGGTGTTGTGGAGTCCCTCTTCTAACGGGAAGTACTGGGCACACTTCGGCTGAAAATAACACTAGCATATTAGCCTTACATTACATTGTACATGAAAGCCAGGTTCTTGAAGTTTACAGACAGCAGACACGACAACTAAAACATGTTGAAGACTTACACATAAATAGCATTGCAAATTTAAAATCAGCAGTAGGCCACACAAATTTAATTAACTGGTTCTCAGATTTGCCTGCTTCACTTTTCTGATTTGCAAAAAGAAACAGATTCAGGTTCTGAATCAACTCCGAAATGCTCAATCTATCAAAGATTGGTTTGACAAAAAGCTTAAAATCTACTGTTTGAATCATAAACCAGACTGGTATGTAGACATCATGGCTCCTATCATAGTTTCTGGGGCTATCAGATTAAACAAAGGTCTGTTTTCTTAACAAATTTTCACCCTATCGCTTTAAAAAAAAAAAAAAAAAATTAGGTTTTTTTAATTGTCCAAACAGTACCCATGCAGTCGCAGCCTTACGGCTGAATTGATGCAGGGTATCACACAATAATCAATACAAATCACAACAATTACAACATTCAAATAATACAATTACAAATGATACACACAGTCGCAAGGGTCTGTGCGGCTGCCATTCGGCGCCACAAGATGACCTCAATACGACTTTCCCCAACCGAAGTTAGGTACCCATTCACACCTGGGTGGAGTGAGGAAATTCGTGTAAAGTGCCTTTCCCAAGGGCACAACGTCGGGGCGCATGTTCAGACATGTACCGGGTACGACTCGGAATCGAACCCGGGTCTACCGGTTCACAGTCTATTGTTCTTTACATTTTGTCTGAAAAATATGAGAACCAACAAATCAAATTGTTGGGGCTTTGAAGGTCTGCAATAATTTTGCAAATTTCTCTTATGTCAATTTAAAACTTCCAATGCATTTAAGAAACCTAAACTTCTGACAATATTTCAGAGAACTTTGACTTTGTTGGGTTGTATACAGATGCCAAAGACCCTGTAAAAGTGCAGTGAGACCTCTCTACTGAAGTAACCTTTTACCAATGAATTCATTTTAGGTGTAGCACATAAAAGGCACTAGGCACATAAAAGAGTTATCAGTCTGTTAGTATATGAGATGATGATAATGAATGAATGAATGAATGAATGACTGGTTTATTTGATCAGCATCAACATGATCCTTAAAAAGTACATCGCAGCCAAATTAAGTGGCTGAATTACATACTTTTCACATAAAGAGATAAAGCTATATTCAAATTGGCATTTGGTACAAATATCAATATTTACATATAATAATAATGTTCTAAATGTGGATAAGTACGATAATAAGTACTGATGTAAGTTGTTATACAGGATGTGTTAGTGAATGTTAGAAGGAAAAATCTCCAGGTTTTACCTTCTTCTCTTCTCCCACCTGAAGACACCAGGAATACAGGCATGCGAGAGGTGAAGAATGAGAGAACATGGCCAGGTTAGATATGGAAAACATGGTTAGGTCCATGTTAGTTACATCCGTCCTAGAGAACTGGGTCTTCTTGTTAGGTTACACTGATGTAATTTTATGGATGACATTCTATGTGTGCATTGATTTTTGCCCGTTCTATAAAAAAAAAAGAAAACAAAAAACTCTGAGGCTGAAGCCAGGGTACCATCCTCCGTAAGCCATGGTAGCTACTGACAATAGGGAGTCAGTGGTAACTACAGACGACGGCACCCAGGCTGCTGAGGCTCTATAGAACTCTAGAATTCAGTACAGTGCAGACTCATAAATGCTACAAAAGGCCAGCATGTGTCACCTTGTTGTAAAAGTAGTCATGTACATCTGCAAATTCACAATACCAGCCTTGTATTCCTGTGGTTTAGCAGCATTTTTCTTTGGGCTGGACATCTTTTTTATTCGCCCACTCACATTAGTTTTGGGGTCTTCAGAGGATGTCATCTATAAAATTAAGTCAGTCTTGCCTTATGTCAAAGTGTAATCGGTTCTATTGTCCAGAAACAAAGAAATGTTAAGACGAGGGTCACTTAGTACATGTAGGTCATTTATCGTGCCAAGGCAAAGAATGAGAGTATAAGGTTAGGCCACACCAATTTAATTTCTTGGTTAACGGATTTTTCTAGAAAAATAATGGAGCGGGCGGGCGAAAAAAATAAAAATAAAAACAGGCCTAGGCATCCTATTATGGCCCAAAATGGTACGATAGGAGCCATGAAGTCAACACACCAGGCTGGTTCAAAATTTAAACAATGAATTTTGAACTTTTAATGATACCATTGCATTGAAAGATGGAATAACTATAACAACTAGGAAGAAAAGGACTGTTTTCAACTGTTCAGGTCAAAATATGAGCATTTTGCATTTGATTCTGAATTTTTATTTATATTTGCAAATCAGAAAAAAATGAAGCGGGCAAATCCGTTAACCAAGAAATTAAATTGGTGTGGCCTTATGATGGTTAGTTAAAGCAATGTATTGATAAGATCTGATGACTTGGTAATGAAAACATGGATGTTATATGGTGAAAAATAATTGTCACAGCAATAAGGGTAGGTACATGTTTGAAGGCATCCAACGCAAATTCAGAGCGGCAAAACAAAAATATTCTGGAGGAGGAAATCTGTTTGATATTAACATTTACTGCCATTTCATAAAAAAATGTTGTCATCATTTCATATTTCAAGCATTTCAAACAGCCCCCCAAAAAGCTACATGAAGTGTCTCTACTTTTTGGGTACTGCCCATAAATAGTTAGAACCAGCAACTGCTTTCTATCAGTGACATACCATTTTTGTCCTCACGGATATCAGTATAGTATGGGATAGGATTGATTCAACTTACTACATTAAAAGAATGACCAGAAAATTGACTTTCAAAATCCAGCTTTGCAACCATAAAATTGCATTGGATGCGTGCACTCACATAAAGAACATATTTTCCCTTTTTCCCTCTACGGGAGGGGAAAATAGCAAGTCAACCCCATTAAAATATATGTTAAGCCTGTTCAACCACAGTCAGTAGCCAGAGAAAATGTGCTCCACTGACCACTTCCTGCTCCTCGAAGTCTGTGAGCATGATGATGGCTGGAGCCTGCTGTTCCCACACCATCCGCCAGAAGTCCTCGCAGGTCTGGTCCAGCGGCGCCTGAGTGGCAATGTAGGCCCTGGTCTGGAACTTGTAACCCTGAAATCAATGTGTGCTACAGTAAACATTTTGTGAATAGATTCATATCATAGTCAAACATGTCCCTCTATGCATATTAGAAACAATTTTACTACTAAAATCAAAGAACCCACATATTATAGAAGAAGTGGGTAAATTCGTCTTCCATATTGCCTCAAAAAGAAGAAGTCAAACCGTAAAACTAGCACCATGTATGTTGTTAAATTATAATGTTAGACGTATAGTCTCACATACCATTGTATTTTCTTTCTTCATACATGTTGTTTGTAACTGTAATTAGCCCCCATGTATTTGCAATAAACTATCATTATCCATTGATAATGGAATTTAAAACAGTCACAACTGAATGTGGTAAGCTATTTCAGCACTATGTATGTTCCTTCAAAACATTTAGGGCTTGATGCTACCAGGTTTGCTCTTCTAACCTCGAATACATGGTTCATATCTTTCACTAACTTCAGAATGTTGGTTTTCTTCATTGCACATGTATTAAGAGAATGAATAGTGACTGAGAGTTTGCACGACTGTGACTTACTGTGACAAAGTTGGCGTTGATGTAGTCAGAGTGAGGGAAGCCTGGTCTCTTCAGTAAGGGAACTCTAGTCTGTGAAACTGGAAAACAAAATGGACTAATGTTCAACTACATGCTGCATTTGAAAGACATGACTATATTTGCATAGATAAGTTCAACCAATGTAAAAAAATGTTACCCTGAGTCAACCTTTTCTCCGGATTGATCATTCTTTTCCTTGTATAAATGTTAGCTGTTACCATATCTCATTTTTCTTGAACTTCGACTTTTGTTTACATTTCCTCCAATTGTGCTGGATTTGGACATTGCCCACACCCTTGCATATCATAATTCATATCAAGAACACATTCAAGTAATTTCTCTATCAATTTTGGCGTGACAATTGTGCTGTTAACCACACACACTGAAAATGGAGATGTACAAAAGTCATGTATCTTGTAACAATTACAGAATAAATAAGAACAAGTGACAATGTCCACCTACCAGGCAGCACATTCATGTATCTGTTCCTGTCCTCAGTACCAGGTGGGATGTCAGAGGACTTTGGCATTGGCATTGGAAGGGACTGGGAAGTGGAAGAGTAGAACATTTGCATTATATCGTTGTGGATGAGAGCTGTACGAGATTTTTTTGATTTTTTTATTACAACATTTCATGACTGGACATGGTGACGGCACACTGAAGTTATATTAACTTATTTTATACCGTCACCAACGCAGAGGACAAATACAGAACAGGACAATGCTCTTTTTCACTTGAGTTAAGTGAGGAAAGTCATGTAAAGTGCCAAGGGCACAAGATCGGTGGCATGTCAGGACTCGAACCCGGGACCTCTTGGTTCTGTGTCGAGTACTCTGCCGCTATGCCACACGACCCCACCGACGCCACCATAAGTTCCCCCATAATTTAAAGGGGCATTATGTAACATTTTTGCACCGAAAATTGAAACTTTTCTTAGGAAAATACTCGTGGGATTGTAATTTACTTCCACTTTTCAACATATTTGTGAAGTTACGACACATTTCTGACATTTATGACTGGGGATAAAACAGCCCACACGAGGCCCACTAAGTTTATGGTGCCACCACAAACTTCCAGAATGTAAACAAAGATGGCTGACGGCCATGTTTCAAGCTTTCAAACACACCTCCACTTCCTGAATGGCACTTATTTGCAATTGACTAGTATTGATTCAATAAACTTTGTTGAAGAAATGACCAGAAACCTTACTTTTTGTATCATCGAATTATTATGCAATGCAGGTTTAAGACCACCAAAATCACTACATTTTACAACATTTTTACAACATTTACCCTCTACAGAAAACACAGATCATTCTTACCTCAAACTCCTCCACAATGGTTCTGATGTTGGAGTAGAATTTCACGATGCCGCTCAAACTGAGGAGGTTACAGGGTCCATCCTTAAAAAATATAACATGACCGTTAGCATGGCAATCGCTGGTAGACTAAGCTTAGTTAAATTTATGACATCTCTTTCCAAAATCTTTACATACCAATTTCTGTCCATCAAAGATGACAGATTGGGTAAAATTTTTTCCGTCATAAGGCCACACCAATTTAATTTGTTGCTTCTCGGATTTTTTCAGAAAAAATATGGAGCGACAGGGAGAAAAAAAAACAAAAAAAACAGGCCAAGTCACCCTATTCTTTTTTTTTTTGGTTCTTTCATTGAGCATTTTTCAGTTGATTTAGAACCTAAAAAAAATTTTTTTTTCAAATCAGAAAAAAATGGACAGGGCGAATTCGAGAAACAACAAATGAAATCGGTGTGGCCTAAACAGCGAAATTCTGTAAAATGACGGAAAAACAGATGCTGGCTATAGATAGAAAATGGACTAATCCCCTAGCTAACCAACATCTTCCTCACTGCAGTCGGCAATATTAATGCAGCTTCCTCTTTGGTTCAGGCTCAAATGAGAACTGGACACAAAAGATTGCACTTGTATACTTTTCCAGTGCAGGCTGTCCTGGTCATCTGATACTCAATGGGTCATTCTGTCAAAGAGTTTTCGCCACAGGACCTAAAGATGTTGGTTAGCTTACTGTACCATACTGTAAATTACAGTTTTTTGGGGGGTACTTTTATATTTGTAGTTTTCGTGGCCTCTTCTGTGCAGTGAACTTTACCATTAACAAATAATTCGCTGACTTTCTTTCTGCTGCACCTGCCGCCGCCGCAAACGTATACTTCCGTGAACATATCCATTTTTTCAGACCACAAACTTTTGCTACCACAAACATAAAGTGATTTATAATAATCTACTTTCCATTGCATGACAGGAACTGTCCCTAACACCATACAGTGGCATACACAAAGTGCTGAATGTATCAAATCGTCCCATAGCATTGCTACAAATGCACTGAGCCCAAACCTAGCTATAGCCGGCTTCCCTCTACATTATCAGTGCTACCAACAACCTGAAATAGCATGTTACATGTACAAGCAAGTATTTACATAGAACAGAGCTGCATTAGACAAGCAAAGGGACCAAAAGTGTCCTACATTTACTCTCCAAGCAAAGATTTGGGCTTTGGCTTATTTTGGGCATGTTTTTAGGCTTTTATATCACACTTCAATTTGTACCGATGTCTTTTTTTTTGCACACAAAAAACATACCAGTACAAGAAAAGAAAGCCTGGTAAAAAAAGCCCCCAAAAATAAGCCAAACCTCTCCTTGGAGAGTATCCTACATTGCACTATTGAAGACTCATAGCCAAAGACGTACCATCCTAGAGGGACTACAGGAAAGAAAGGAGTCAGACCATACAAGAGAGAATGGACAAGACCGGTTTGGGCTGCAACAAACAACTGGACTTTTAACTCTGTTAATATATGCCAGAGGACCTTTAGTCTTTCCCAATGTTTAAATGTACACCCAGCTTTCACTCAATTTCAAGGAATCAATATTACATGTAGATCGATCTAGCATGTTGGAACAAATAGCTGGTTGTGAAATTATCATTATACTATAACTAACTAGAATATTTTTTTTTAAATTTTCACCTAATAAAAAGCAGGTAGCACATTGTCAGAATCATTGGTAAGTAACACCAGTGTTTGAAATCTTGGTGGGACCCAAACTAACATACATGTAACACCTCTAATGTAAGATTAGTGAAACTATGCGTGATTTTTGGCAATTTGATGTTTTGGGACTTTTAAGGAAATATCCAAACTGTAATGTTTGGTCATCAATCAAAATGATGGACAACAATTACCTGTAACACTTGGAGTATTAGAAATACATGTACATGTACATGCCAAAAGCAGTTACTCAAGCAACTGTATATAATTTTGGAAACAATCAAGACGTTTCTGGTAGCATCCACTACATTTCGTCAGTGTCACATTTCCAAAGTCATATCCACTTGCTTAAGTAATTGTTTTTTTTGGCGTATCTTATTATCTGGATGTATATTTTTCACCGGCATATAAGAAATACAGTCATATATTGCAGGCGTACCAACTTTTGTGAAAAAATCAATTTTTCCAATCATAACCTTCACATTCTTCTTCAGGTAAGGTAAGTTAAGAAACCTTAGTGAGAACAATGAAGCTTTATCAAAAGACAAACATGGCGCAAAATGTGTGTACAAAATGGCTTCCAATGTTGGCAGAATGTACAAGACCAAGAAGAGACCTGCACATGTGTGTAGGTCTAAAGTCTCCTCTAAAATAGGCTCCATCCTCTATTTGCCTAGTTGATAGGCTATCTCCAGCTGGTTAATGTGTTATGTATTGTGTGATAGTCGTGCTGGTTTTGTGACAAGTCAGACATAACTAAGGCCCGATTTAAACGTGCGTCGTTTATATCTGTTGGGCGTAAAACGACGCGAGCACGCGCGCGCGGCGCCGCACTGCGCGTTCTGTGCGACAGATTTTTTTTAGCATGCAAACAACCTCCGCCACAGGCGCGCGTCGCTAAAAAAATCTGTCGCACAGAACGCGCAGTGCGGCGCTGCGCGCTTGCGTCTTTTTACGCCCAACAGATATAAACGACGCACGTGTAAATCGGGCCTAATAGTAAGACAGGTCCTGCCATGAAACAATTGCACCTGTGCACCAAATAATGTAATTCGAGCCTTGCATACCATTCCAAAGACAAGGTACTAAGAATTTTGCTGCATCTTGGCAATAAAAAGTACTGTAATTCACTTTGTGTTTGTGGTAGCAAAAGGTCGCTAATTCTGACATCTTAAATCTTGTTAAGCTAGAAATGATACCTACGTATATTGCGCTATGTTTACTGCCAACTACAATGTATTACAACATCCATTTGTCAAACAACTTTGAAAAATAAAAGTTTTCAATCATTATAGTATTTACAAATGTTTTTGATTCAGTGGGAACATCACATATACACAGCCACCATTACATACTAAAGGAATGAAATACATCACTACATCAAAGTAAAAGACAAAACATTAAATCAGAGTCTTGTCTCCTCTCTTCATATTTATCTGCCACCCACATTCCGGCATGGCAACAGACATCTTTGCCCATTTTTGGCATGTTGACCACTGTCAGAGGGCAACAAAATTTCTTGTTTGTTTTGTTTTCCAAAATCAGGCAAAAATTAATGCGCGCGCTGATGATATCCATAAAATTCATTTGCTGTGGCCTTACTTACCCTCTCCAACGCCTCGTTCACAAATGCCAGCTCTGACTTGGATGGTTCTGAGGACAGAGTGCTGGACTTCTCAGGGGAGCAGTACTCCAGAGGGAAGGAGTCAGTGGTGTCCAGACCTGGTGTGGACTTGTTACCATAGTACTGCCTCTTGAAGGCAAGGTTCTGCTGTTTCCTGATCACCTAAAGATGGGAGAGTAAAAAAAATATGGCAATGTATAAAATAATAGACATCTATCATCTTTGTGATGAAAAAAAAATGACTCATTTGTTTCTGATACATTTCAATTCGGCAATGTTGATTTGATAGTATGGATGACATCCTCTGGGATCAGATCTCCAAAACTGATGCGAGCATGCAAATAAAAAAATTCAAAAAAAAATTGCCATCGTTATGAATCTACGTGGTCGTGAAGGTTGAACAAATGAGTAAACTCACAGTGAGTACGGTATGGCGAATAATAGACTCTTCATTTTCATTTCTTCGAATTCCCATTTTCTTCTTTTCCTTTGGAATTAAAGATTGGTATTCTAAGCATCGTTTTCCTATGTTTGCAATTTATCGCAGATATTTGATCATGTTGCAGCTGCTTTGTGTGATTTACAGCATGGTCCAAAACTCTATTTTTTCTGGAAACGGATGAAAATTCTTGCATGTGGAGATGTCATTTGTATATTGAAATCAACATGGCCTACTACATACACAGATGCAATAACAATGACAATAATTGTGCAACACAGAATGCTGTTGCTTTTTTTCTTAAGTACAAATAGTTAGCATCACAGTAACTCCACATCCGTGCTTGACACACAATAATGAAAGGGAAAAACACTTCTATGACCCGGTTTACACGACGACAAAAACCTGGCGTACGATAATGGCGTACGCACGCGATCGTACGTCCGTTTCGGTTTACACGGAGCGGGACGGACAGCGCCGGGACTCCCGCAGCGCTCCACACTATCGTGACCCCATTTGACCCGCCGCGAGCTTTGACATAGCGCTATTTTCAAAATGGCGGGAGAACAGGCTCTTTTTCTGTTCTTCATGCGTCAGATGTTGCTATTCTTCTTTTCGCGGATGTACTTGCGTCGCCGGGCATTGCGTAGAAGAAGGGTTGGACGTCGCAGGGAGCGGTACCATGAGGTCCAACGGGCAGCAATTTTTGCAGTCATTGCAATCATTCAAGCTCAAGGCGGGATCGATCGGTCAGTGTGGGAACGTGACAGTTAGAGCTATTGCGCACTTCTGCCATGGTCAGTTGCGGCAGTCGCTCAGCAAAACAACAAACAAATCAAATACGATAAAAAAACAAAAGGAAAACCGAAACGGATCAGAGAAAACAGAGTAAAGATCAGTAACACGGCGTGGGTTTTCACAGGCGCGGGAAGAAGAATGGACTTTGCATATGACCCCTGACCTCCTGCAACAGGGAAGTGCTTGCGAACGCCGTTCGTACGATCAGTCACGTTTACACGAGGCGGGGAGGCATCCTGGCTCCCCGCTGGGCGATCGTACACGATCGTACGCCTGCCTTCGAGGTGGCGTACGCAAATTGCGTACGATAGGTGCGTACGATAGGTGGGGCCGGTTTACACGCTGGAAAAAATGGTCGTACGCAATTGTCGTACGATCGCGTGCGTACGCCATTATCGTACGCCAGGTTTTTGTCGTCGTGTAAACCGGGTCTATATCTGTGGTATTGAACAGAGGCCAACCACCCAGTATGTCTCCAACAGGTCCGGTAAAATGAGCCATTAACAGATGCCAGATGCTGCATGAGGTGGAAGGACAGTCAACAGGAAATTGTGATCAACTTTTCTATGAAACTAGGATCTTCCTGACAGGAATGAATTCACCTCTCTCCACATTGCTCCCCAGGGGTCTGGACCTCTCTAGCTGCCTGGTGCCTTACACCACATGGGAGCAAGTGGAACATTAAAGACCATATGACACTAATAACAATAAAATACAACAGATCCTGAAAATAGTCAAATGTGATAGGTATTTTCAATGAACAAAGAGGTTTGGACACAAACAGTTACTACTATTTTGATGATAGGGAACATTGAATTTTGCAAATCATTCAGTTTGCAAGAATCTTGCATTTTTGTCGCCAGTTAATCTAATTAAATTCTGTCAATGACATCACAATTCAGAACCTAGCATCACAGCTCGGCTTGTGAAAGACCTTCATTTGAGAAGCAAACAAAGGAAAAACATGCTCACAGTGACGCCATTGACAGAATTTAATTGGATCAACTGGCAGCAGAAATCAAAAACTGGAAGAACAATTTGCAAGATTCAACGTCCCTCAACAGGGAAGGGGGGCTACGAGTCGATCTTTCCGGCACTTGGGATTTGGCACTCCCAGCCCCGAGGACAGACAACACTTAAGCTCCTGTTCTGTACAACAGGAGCTTTCAGACTAATTTGCATCATTTCGTCTTGACTTGTCTGACTTTTGTTCCTTTTTCGACTTCCAAAAATTTGTCTTCACTTTATTTGCATATCAATCAACAGGTTGTGTATATAAACCTGCTTTCCCCTCTGGTCTCTCAGTCACTGACGAAAGCTAGTGGATACTAGCTGAAACGTCTGACGTTTTCAAAATCATATCCAGTTGCTTGAGTAACTGTTTTTTGGCGTATTGTATTACCTGGATGTCTAACCTTCATCGACGTATCTTGCAAATCAGTTCTTGATTTTTGTCGCCAGTTAATCTAATTAAATTCTGTCAATGACATCACAATTCAGAACCTAGCATCACAGCTCGGCTTGTGAAAGATGTTCATTTGAGAAGCAATCAAAGGAAAAACATGCTCACAGTGACGCCATTGACAGAATTGAATTGGATCAACTGGCAGCAGAAATCAAAAACTGGAAGAACAATTTGCAAGATTCAATGTTCCCTAACATCAGAAGAGCGTAGTTTTGGTCCAAACCTCTTCGTTCATAGAATAATACCTAGTATAACGTTTGACTATTTTCAGGAACTGTTGCGTTTCAGTGTTATTTG